TTGTCGGTCTGGATTGCATAAGATGATCGAGAACTGGTGGCCATTCTCAGCCAGACTGAGCGGCATTTTTTAACTCGCCCCATCACTTTGGACAAACTCACAATTAATTCAACAATAAGCTAGACAAAATCAGTATAAGTAGCTAAGTTTACTACTGAATAGTTACTACTACTGCTTATTTATTTACTACTTTTTATTATTTATTACTCTTCTATAATTAATTGTATTTATTTAATATTATTCTGTAAACTATTCGGCTAAAATAGGCTTTCGAAACTGTTACAAAAACGTGTATAAGAATTTTAGTCAGCCTAGTTCACAAAATTTAATGATGCAATAATGGCCATTTTCAGCCTGACAGATCTGCAATTCTGTGCCTGCCTCATAATCTTGGGCAGTTTCGCTATCAGTTTAACAATGAGCTAAACAAAATCAGTATTTCAAGTGAAATTTGCTACTTATTACTTGCAACCGCGACCATTACTACAACTACTGCTGCCACAACTGCAATCACTGCAGTCAACACCACTAACTATTGATTTACTACTATGTATTTATTACCCATTAACTAAATTGTATTTAATAATAATATTTATTTGCAAATAGTTGTTTGCTGCCAGTTAGCTAAAAATACAGAAAAATTAGGTTAATCACTTAGTATCAGCATCAATAGTAATAGCAGAAGAGAGATCAGATTATCCTTTAGTGGAACTCGAACCGTCCGCATGCGTCCGACCATGTGTGTATATGTATGTATGCGTGTGATAAAAATGTTACCATCCCATTTTCAGCCCATATCAAACGGGACTACTCGACACAGATTAGAGTTCTACCCATCAAGTCTGTTATGTGAAGAATAGGACAGAAAAAATGTCGAAACCAACCCGATTGCGCCCACCTGTAGAGTCGGTCTGCGAAACCACCCATTCCGAAAATGGTCCTTTGACCCAGCCTGGAAAGGTGATGCCTTGTAGTCGGTACTCGTACCTCAAGCCCGGCCTCAGGTTGGTCACCAAGGCTTCTATCGGCAAAGTTGGGAAAAAGGGTAATTACAAAATTGTGTAAAGAGCGAAAAAGTGCCAATAACAAAACCAGCACAACAGCCTCATAGACTCTGGTTCGAGTCCAGCTGGATTTGTATGTACACGCCTTGCACTGAAAAGACTAGCAAATTGGCAACTCACTTGTCTCTGATTTTTCAATTTCTAGACTCTTGGTGATCTCAGAGTCTTTGATTCGATACTCAAGACTATAGATGAAGTCACAAATGCTGACCGTACTTTTCCATGAGACCTCTTGCGAGGCTGTGTTGATAGGCTTGACGAAGAGTTCGGCATCCCAGTTGAGTTCTGATGGTACATACAAGGGAAAGGAGAGGGAGAGAGAGGACAGAAAGTGAATTTTTGCCAGAGCAACAGTTGTTAGGGTCTCGGTTTTGCCAACTTGGTGCTTCAAATGTCCTACCCGCCGAGAGCCCACTCAGCCGAACGCCGCTGCCTACCGCCTCGAACAGAACCCCTTTTGTCAATGATTCTTGAGGCCCTCGATCAGACGAACCCCAAGAAGTGATACATCCGAAAGTTGGATGTCTGTGGTCTGCCTTTGCAGACTCTGTGTCAAGATGGGAATTGAAGGATGTTTTGCTAGATTTCAGGCCGAAATTCGCCAACTTTTCCAGCCGCCTGGACGAAATCCGGTAGTCGTGCAGGCAGGTAGGCAGATGAACAGATAGATAGATAGATATTTTTCGTTTTTAGTAGAGTTTTGAGACTACCAGTAAATCAGTTCTATGAGAGGTATTCACCCTATTTTGTTTAAGGCGATGATGGACTGGTAGTGGAATGTTCCAACAATCATATGAGAAGAGCTGAAGTTTCCACTGAATTCCACATAGCCCTACTTTCACAAAAGGTATTCTCATCAATGTTGAAGTAGACTATAGCTTCGATTCCGCCACGAATTCCTTTGAGTCACAGGACAGATGTGAATTTT